CAGGTGAGACGCCGATCAAGATGAACACCTAGATACTTCACGTGATCGGATTGTGGTAGTACGTTATTATTTAGTGTGACTGGTGGGCTGTAACCATGGCGAAAAACAAATGTGGTTTGTGTAAATTTAGATTCATTAGCTTTAATGCGTCATTTGTTTAGCCACACTTGGATGCTGTCTAGGTTTGTTTGCAACTGACTAGGTCTTAGTTTTTAGCCATGATCACTGTGTCATCGGCAAAAGTTGAGCTATACGTTGATGGATTAAGTGGTAAGTAAGCTTATAGATCTGTAAGATGTAACTAACTCTAAAGGTTTATCTGGTTTTAGTATTAGAATAATTTGGACTACTTTCCATTTACTTGGATAGTATTCATGACTAATAATAGCATTAAAAAGTTGGTTGATGAAAACAAGACCAATGTCTGGAAGCTCTTTCATCACTTTTTCACTGATCAAATCGTATCCAACAGCCTTTTTGATTTTAATTTTGGTCTTAATTGTCCATTTAATTTCTTGTATTGGGGTTTTTAGAACCAGAAAATCCATTTAATGCGGTGGTTGCAGGAAAGGCTCAATTTCAGTGTCGTTTTCATAATTTCTGCACGGGTATGGTTGAAATACACCTTGAAGATGCTCTGCGAAAATTTGAGCATTGTCGATTCTGGATCTAGCCCACTGCCCATTATACATTTTGAGTGGTGAAATATATGGCGTTGATCCATTCAGCTTGCGAGTGGCCCGCCATAATGAATAGTCGGTTGCTTCACTGGGAGACAATTCAGATAGGTTTTTTCCAATATTTTTGTTTTTGTTCTCCCTTAGGGTTTCTTCAAGTTTTTTTTATCGCTTCATTCAAACGTGTTTTGTTTTCACGATGATTTGTTATATGCCAAATTCGTCGCAATCTACGTTTTTGAAGTAACTATTCCTTTATGCCTCTGTCTATGTGCTCTTCTTTGTATTTATTGAAATGTATGGTTAAGTTCCACGCGGCATTCTGCACAGTTGTATTGAATTGCTCGAGCGCAAATTCGATATCGCTGCCGGTTTTGAGTGGGATGTTGGTTGTTAAATTTTCATTTATGATGTTTCTGAAAATATTCCAGTCTGTACTTTTATTGTATAATCGAGACTCTTTGTTCTTTACAAAGATGTTAGAGTTTATCTCCAAGAGAAGAGTAGTCTGAGAAAAGGTCTAAACTGGAATGTATCAATAATAGTGAGTTAGAAATGCCTTTAAATATGCAAAAATCGATCACGTCTGGAACTTTATTGTGATCTGTTGGCCAGTAAGTTGGTTCACCAGTTGATGCGTGCAGCCAAATAATGGCCTGCATAGTCTTAAGCAGATCGCGGACTCCTGGTGTGATTAGTCTAGAGCCCCAGTGAGTATGCTTTGCATTGAAGTCCCCAGCAGCTATAAATATTTGACCAAAGGTGTGGAAATATTCCTCAAACTGATGACTTTTAATTCTTCGGTTTGGTGGGCAACAGATAGAGTCTATACAATTTGGACCTATATTGACTAAAAAAATATTTTTTCGTGTTTGTTGTGCACAAAGTAATCAATATCTTTTGTTCGAAGAGGTGGAAACGCTTTTTGTTGAAGCTGCCTGTGTACTTCACAGCCCTTGAAATTTACTTCATTGTCGTCTACATTACGAGTACACTCTGATGTCAAGTGATTTCCAGAGCATTTTAAACAGCGGGGCGTTCGTTTACAGTAATGCTTAGTATGGCCATAATGCTGACAACGAAAGCATTGCGGAATTTCGCGTTTTTTTCTTGGAGCTTCAAATGTAATTTTTGTATGCAGTAGGCTGTTACAGTTAAAAATACTCTTATTTGTATCTGGCGATTTCAAACCAATGAAAAACAACGGGAATGGGTTTTTGGTTGTTCGCTGACGTATATTAGTTATGTTGGTCACCTTAAAGAATAAACTATTTATCGCCTCTTCTGCATGCCTCTCAATACAATGTTAAAATTTCTATCTTATTTAAGTTTATAAGTATGGAACTCAGCTTTTTTGTCTTCAATAGCCTTAGTGATAACAGAAAATTTTTCTGAGCTACTAGGCTGTATTTTGACCTCATTGCTGGCAAGTATTTTTAAATCACGGTTGTATATTACTGTATGAAAAACAAACACGATTATTTTACACACACGCAAAATGTTTATTTATTTATTCAATTTAGGAAAAAATTAGACTAGAATAATTTATATCTCGCCAAGCCAAATAAACGTGCACACTCTATGCCAGTCAAGTAAAGAAGAAGGAGAAAGAAAAAACAAAAAACGAAGCCAAAATTATCGCTGCCAGATGTTAGGATGCCATCGCCAAAAACTACTAAATGTGTGCTGCCATATCGCCTAGTTGCTGTGTCAAATCTCAAACATCCTCCCCGGCTGGACGGGTACGTTCAGGATGCTCCACAAGCCTGCATATCTTTTGGATAGGCCGCATGCATTCGCCTGCTGAATGCTTGATCGTGACTACTCGTACCAAACCATCTTCGCCTGGGTGAAGTTTAATCACCCTGCCAAGCCGCCAATGTGTTGCTGGTAGATTCTCGTGCCGGATAACCACGACATCGCCAATGTTGATGTTGTCGCCATTCTGATGCCATTTGGAACTTGGTTGCAAAGTTGAAAGATATTCATCATGCCATTGCCGCCAAAAATGCTGTTGCATTTGCCTTAATTGTCGCCAGTATGATAATTTGTTGCTAGGTACCTTGCCAATAGGTTCATCTGGTACTGCCAATAGAGATCTGCCAATTAGGAAATCTGCAGGTGATAGAGCCATCTTGTCGTCACAAGTGCCATGCAATGGTATAAGTGGACGTGAATTCAAGCAAGCCTCGATATGTACAAGTAGAGTATGTAGCTGATCATAGTAAATGGAATGGGTGCCAACAATGCGTAGTAAGTGCTTCTTTGCTGACTTAACGGCAGCTTCCCATAGACCGCCTTGATGAGGTGCGCCAGGTGGTAGAAAATGCCATTTTGTGCCTCGATTTGCCAATTGCTGTTGAGAATATTCATTATGCCAAGCCTGTAAGTCAGCAGCCATTAAGCGATCTGCGCCAATGAATGTAGTGCCATTGTCACTGTATAAATGATTACATGAACCACGCCGGTTTACGAAATGGGTGTTTGCATTTATGAAAGCCTCAGAAGTGAGATCTTCAGCCAGTTCGATGTGCACTGCCTTGGTTACCATGCACACAAAGATTGCCACGTAAGCCTTCCGCACGGTTCGCACAGCCGTGGAGCCAATGCGTATGTTCAATGGACCGCAATAGTCTAAGCCAGATCCTGCAAATGGTGGAGATGGGGTGACCCGAGCCTTTGGTAATGTCGCCATACGTTGTTTTAGCATTATGTGTTTATGCCGCCTGCAAATCGCGCATGAGTGTATGCATTGCTTAACCAAAATGCGTGCCTGTAGAATCCAATATTTGTGTCGAATCGTATGAAGCATAATTTGTATACCGCCATGAAGTGTGTCCTGATGCACCTCCCATATTAAAAGCCTGGCCAATGTGCTATCCTTCGGAAGAATGATTGGATGACGCTGTGGCTCTGCCACCCTCGCATTGTGTAGGCGTCCGCCTACTCGCAATATATTGTCCGCTGTGGAGTTGATGAATGGACTCAGTGCAATGATCTTGCTGGATGTGGATATGGGCTGTGCCTTTTTCAGCTGCTTGATTTCCGCTGCGAAATATTTCGCTTGTTCTGCCTTGATGTGGTGATTTAAAGCAATGTCCATTTCGCCTGTACAGATGTGTGTATGCGAACGAAAACGATAATGTGCCTTTTTGCAACGCAATATGTATGCAGTAGTGCGCAATAGCTTGCCAAGATGACTGAACCGGTCCAACAAATCTATGACGACCAATTCGTCGCCAGCAGTGTAGTGTGTCTGTAATGCGGGTTGACCTATTACCTGCAATGCCTTTACCTTAACTGGTTTTAACTCGCCTTTCATTATTGCCAGCTCTGCTGGTGCACAGTGGTGCAGCTCATTGATTGAATAATCAGTTGAATTAGGACCGTGCCACCATAATGCGTAGTTTTGCAACGCCAAAGGGGATATGCCACGACTGGCGCAATCAGCTGGGTTGAGTTTGGTAGGAATGTGATGCCAATGCCTGATATCTGTCATCGATTGAATGCAGCCAACGCGATTAGCAACGTACTGCTTTAATTGTGATGTGTTTCTGCGTAGCCAACATAGAGCAATATTTGAGTCGGAGTATAGAGTGTATGGCTCCAAATGCAAAGCCAACCTTGTTTCGTGTAAAAGAGTAGCCAACAATTGCGCAGCACAAAGTTCCAATCGGGGTACTGTTACCGAATGTAATGGTGCCACTTTAGTTTTTGATGCGATAATGTGACTAGTGATATTGCCATTGTGGTTTGTTGCCAAATAGAGTGCTGCAGCCATTGCCTTGACACTAGCATCGCAGAAGCCGTGAAGTTGTATTTGATATCCGGGTTGCATGCCTATCCAACGCGGTATTCGCACTGCCTTCAGTTGGGACAGCTGCCTTCGGAGCCATTCTTGCAACAGTTCAAGTGGTAATGGGTCGTCCCATGCCAATTTTGCCTGCCAGAGTTTCTGTATGAAAAGTTTAGCCGTAATGATGACTGGTGCCAACATGCCAATTGGATCATATAATTTTGCGGCATCGCTAAGCACTTGCCTTTTCGTAAGATGTTGTGCATCATAAGAGCTGACCTGATAGAAGAGTTCATCAGTGAGTGGATGCAAGTGTAAGCCAAGAACAGTAGTTTCTGCCAAGTGCGGATTAATCTGACATGGATCAGCATCGCCAAGAAGATGTGCCAAGACTTCAGCGCTATTCGATTTCCATTTCCTGAGATGGAACTGACCGTCTACCAAAACAGATGAGACATCGGCCGCCAGTTGAATCGCCATGCCAATAGAAGGTGTACTCTTAACGTAGTCATCTACGTAGAAATCATTCAGGATGCTGTGCAAAGCAGTTTTAGCTCGTAATCTGAGAGTTTATAAGAATTGTCCCTGCCACATTGCTGCATAGCGCGAACAGCCGAATATGTGCCACTGGTTGTGCCATATGTAACGGTAGCCAATTGATATGTGCGAATGGGCTGATCGAATGATTCCCGCCAGAGGATCTGTTGCCACTGCCTGTGCCTCTCGTCAACCTTGACTTGCCTGAACATTTTCTCCACATCAGCTGTGAATGCTATTCGATGCTGCCTGAAGCGAAGCAAAAGGTTAAGTAATAAATCCTGTATTGGGGGACCAGCGAGTTGTGTATCATTTAATGATATGCCATTCGATGTTTTTGCGGAAGCATTGAATACGACTCGGAATTTTGCCATGACTGCATGATGTGGAATGTAGTATGCCTGAGATGGGTCACCTGAATGATGCTGAATAGGGTGCATGTGACCAAGTTGTTCGTATTCGCGCATAAAAGCCACATATCTTTGCCTCAGCTCTGAGTTGGATGCCAATTTTCGTTCCAACTGGTGAAATTGCCTGAGTGCCATCTGATGTGAATTGCCAAGTGGTGGAGCATCTGGTGTAAATGGTATTTGTACACAATAACTGCCATCATCAAAACGCTTATGTGTGCTCATGAAAATGCACTCGCAAAGATCAACTGCTGCTAGTATATCGCCTTTAGCCATGTCAATTTCTTTGGATTCAAATAGCCTGTGTAGAAGGTCATCAACTCGCTCATCAGGCGCCTCCACACGCAATGCCATAGATTGTTCCGCCTTGTAGTTATGCACGGTTGCTTCAGCTGGTCCGAATACAACCCAGCCTAATTGCGTATTTTGTGCCACAGGATCATCAAGTTCGCCACGAACTATGCCATCTGCCAACAATTGGCCCCATACGTCTGAGCCAAGCAATGCATCTATAACACCAGTTTCGCCAAATTTCGGGTCTGCCAAAGGCAAATTGCGTAAATGCTGCCAACAGTTTTCCATGATTGGAGCCACAGGGATTGCTGAGGCAATTTTGTTGATGATGTAGAATTGAACATCCAAGCCAAATAAAGCATTGACAGTCGAAAATATGCGCAAGACTGCCCGGCCATTAGTATATGAACGATTGCCACTGCCAACGCCTTGTAATTGCAATGCACTTTTCTGCTTCCGCAGAGCCAGTTGATTAAAATATCGCGTACTCATTAGACTTACCTGAGAGCCTGGATCGCATAGAGCTCGACACGAGTCGATATCGCCAAAGCCATTTAAGATGCGTATTTGTGCTGTTGCCAAGAGTATAACCCGATTGCCTATAGTAGCGAATGTCTGCATTGGATGGTGTAGTCACTGATGCACACGTGGTGGGATGCCAGCCTGGTTCGGTTTCGCTGGTGCCTGAGGTGTAGTTTGTGTCTGCTGTTTGGACTCTTGCAAAGGAGGAGTTTGCGCTGGTGAACTTCGGCATAGTAGAGTGTGATGCCTGCCATTGCATATGCGACAATTAGTTGAGCCACATGCCTTAGTAGAATGTCCAGGTTTCAAGCAATTGAAGCAAAGATTCGAGCCTTTTAGCAAAGTGAAGCGCTCCGCTGGTGAGCAAGCCAATAGCCTTGTGCAGTTGCCTATTTGGTGCGATGCGTCATTGCAAAACTGGCAGTGGCCTGAAGTAGTTGCTATTAGGTTTGTCCTCATTAGACGTGAGCCTGGCCTTTTATAATCAGCCTGAGATGTGCCACGATATCGTAGTGTAGCGGTCTTGCCATCAGATTTTGGTTTGCTCTCCATTGCTCGCCAAACAGTGCCAACTAGACTGTGAGCTCGTGTCTCCAAAAATGCAAGCAAATCTGCCAAAGGAGGAATTTGATTAGTTGTGCGGCTCATGCCCCATGCCTGTTGCGTAATTGTTGGTAACTTGGCCACTATAATGGGTACCGCCAATGCATCCCATTGATCCACAGGTAGGTTCATTACCGCAAGCGCTCGCAAGGACTCTCGCACTGTATCAACCACCGAGAGCAACGCAGATGTTGACTCAGCCTGTGGTGGGTTGAAGCCAATTAGCCTAGCCACGTGTATTTCAGCCAACTGTTTCGGATTGTCGTACCGAGCCTTCAGTGCAGCCCATACCTCATCGTACCCGCCACTGTACATGCCTCCGACAAGTGCCACTGCATCACCATGGACTGCCTCTCGCAGTTTGCCAAGCTTGTATGCCTCTGGAAACTCTTGCGAATGTACCAATGTCTCGAATGTGTCCTTAAATGCAAACTTGGGTACCGCCAATCGTTCCAATTTAATTGCCAAGCCTTGGGAAGATGCAGCACCGCCTGCCATATTGGAAGGTGCATCCGTATTTTGTGCATCACAACGGGCCAACTCACGCCGCAATGCAACGCACGCCTCGTTATATAAGTCTTCCACATCGTCCCACAACTTGATGTGAGACCATAATTCAGTATCATCTCTTGCCAAAGCCACCAACTCACCATGCGCAGTTTGTAGTTTTTCGAAGTGTGCCTGCAATGTTGCACGATCTTGCTGCATGCCAAAGCCATCCTCAACGTAGTCATCCGCCAGTATTTTTGCAGCTACCCGCTTTAATGATGACCACGCAGCCGTACGCCTATTTAGGGCAGCCATATTTTCTTCGTATAAAAACGCCAAAAAAGTCAAAAACGATATTTAATTTTAAATAAAAACCGAAACTCCCGGGTTTCCGCACCAATAAATGTATGAAAAACAAACACGATTATTTTACACACACGCAAAATGTTTATTTATTTATTCAATTTAGGAAAAAATTAGACTAGAATAATTTATATCTCGCCAAGCCAAATAAACGTGCACACTCTATGCCAGTCAAGTAAAGAAGAAGGAGAAAGAAAAAACAAAAAACGAAGCCAAAATTATCGCTGCCAGATGTTAGGATGCCATCGTCAAAAACTACTAAATGTGTGCTGCCATAACGCCTAGTTGCTGTGCCAAATCTCAAACAATTACCGACACCTGCAACGAATATTGGGGGAGACTTTGAGATTATAATTTTTTCATTTTGCTCGTTGGGCTTTTCTGATGAATGAAAGTTTGAGTTCTTTTTGGGTTCAGTTGACAACCAATAGGTATCCAGCTTCTTTTGTTTGATATTTCAATTTTGTCGAGCTTCTTGAAGACTTAAACGACTTCTTTTTGACGAATTTACTCTTTGCCATTCTGGATTGAGTGCTGCTTTCTTCATAACCAGTATATTTCTACCTTTTTTTTTTGGCTGAAATTGGTGTTGTTTGCATTTTTGATGAGAAACTTCTTGAATTATGAATTTATTTCATTTTATTAGCTATGGCAATTTCACTAGCTATTTTTGATTTATTTCTTTCAGTAATTACTTTATGTAAAGATTTGGTTGTAGATTGTTCATTTATTTTAACGTCTTCTAAACTTACCATTATATAAAAATTTAAGCCATTTTTACTAATTTGAGAATGCCGTCGTATAACTTTTTCACAATCCCTCATATAACAGTTTTTTAACATATTTGCAGTTTGTTCATTTAATTATTTAAAATTTTATATTTACCTTGTGATCAAAAAAGAACGAGAATTTTAATTTTTGAATTCCCGCACTTATCCATTCGGTAAATTTTTTATTTTCACGCTGGCAACACTATTATACACATTCTGTCAAAGTTTAACGCATATCGTACGATTAGTTTTTGTTTGGCGTCTATACAAAAAAGTCGAACATTTTTCGTGTGGCGATTTTTATAATGGATTAAAAATTAGAACAACGTGCGTGCATCAAATTTTGTGTTGCAAATGGATTCAAGTGTGCCGAAACATTGAAAATGTTACAAAGGCCTTTGGTGATTTGTGTGTGTCGCAACCGCAAACGAGTATACGAATGGTTCAAAAGTTTCAAAGACGGTCGTACAAGCTTGGACCATGATGAGATCCCTGACCGCCTAACAACATCTGTTACTGAAAAAAACATTGAATCGGCGAAGCAGATTGTGTTGGAAAATCGCTGTGAACCGATTAGAGAGATTGCAGTGTTCTTGGGCATCTCATATGGATCGGTCAAAACACATATTAACTGATGTTCTGGGTTTGAAACGCGTCGGCTGGTGCCAAAAAAGTTCAATTTCATTCAAAAAAAATCGTCGTTGTGATGTGGCCAAAGAGATGATTTCCAATGCAGATAGTGACCCCACATTCTTCGAAGGTGAGCCGAAACCGAAAAGAAAACGCCAAAGTCGGTCCAAAATCAAGGTTATGCTGACTATTTTCTTCGATATTCGTGGTATGGTGCACTATGAATTCCTTCCGGACGGTCAAACGGTGAATAAGGAGTATTATTTGGCCGTTATGCGTCATTTGTGTGAGGCCATTCGCAAAAAGAGGCCCGATTTATGGAAAGAAAACTCATGGATTTTACACCACGATAACGCACCGGCACGAAAACTCACACAGCATTGGTTGTGTCGCAGTTTTTGGCCAAAAACTCCACTAATATCATCAACCAAGCACCGTACTCTCCAGATATGGCCCCGTGTGATATGGCCCCCGACTCAAATTGTCATTGAAAGAGAATTCGCTGCGTGAACTAAAGGACATACTTTTAGATTTCAAGTGTTTTAAAAACACTTGAAACTTATACTGTGGCAACACCACATTTATAATTTTTAACTTTCGTTAACTTTCATGTGCTGTCTCTATCAGCTGTTTTGAGCAAAACACAATTTTTGTTTTTGTTTATTTTGCAAAAGTAAAAATTAATTTGGTAAAATAAAAAAATTTTAAAGTAACAAAAAGGGAACTTCAGCCTTTCAAATCGGGCACCGTTTTTGATAATTTTGTTTTATTTATGATCAATAGCTCGATTGTTCATACATTGAACAATCGAGCAATCGAGTACATTTAAAATTAACTTTTTCCGATTAAAAAAAAAACAAAACAAAAAGTTGCAGAGTGATCACTTTTCGCGCTCAATCAAACAATCAAGCAATAAAAAACAAAAAATAACTAAAATAACAATCATATAATTAAAACAATAAAATTATAGAACAACAATAAAATTAAACCACCATCAAAAATAACACAATTTGTAAACAAAGCACCGTTGCAGTTACAAAAACAAAACAACTGCATGCATCACACTTCTCGGGTATAAAAGACGAAGCAATCAAGACACTCAGCGAGGCATCGAGCTAAAACACAGATCGCTCCAAACATACGTGCTGAAGCATCAGGAACAGAAATTTATATTTCGGTTCCCATTGTTTTCTTTTGTAATAGAAATTCACATTTTTATTACTTATTTATTTATAACGAAATCAACATTTCGTTAGTAGATCAAGTGGTAAGGTAATAATTGCACAGAGATATTATCACCCATACCAAATCCACGGCTAAAGAAATCAACATTTCGTTAATGACCATTTACAAAGTGATGACAATTCCAATTTGCGATCACCAATAAATCGTTCCGGGACAAACAAAATACACATTTTGTTAGTAACCGTACAAGGCGTGGCAGAAATTTGTATTTCTACCACGAATCCATTAATTTCACAGCAGAGAAAACTACATTGCTGTAGCGAAGCCGCCGCCCACCTCGTATACAAAGTTTCCACTGTTCCTAACAAATAAATTTATTATAGGACTAGACCTGGAATCCGGCGAGCAAAACCTCGGCGACAAAGATCTTTTACAAAGTAAATATTTACTAAATACATGTAAAAATATTTGTTTAAGTAAATATTTACTAAATACAAATTAATAGAAAATTTACTAAATACAAAATAACTAAAAATCCTTTTTACGGTTTTAATTGTATAAGCATTTAATGACTGAAGTGTACTTTTTTGTTGTAAAAAGAAATGTTTTCCATCACAATTACAGGTTAATTGTGTTGGGAACTTCAATATTTTGTTTGTAGTAGTAGTAGAAGCTTTACTATATTATTTCTAAATTTGTTGTACTACGAAGATATTCAAAGAGGCTTGGATTAACTATTTTATTATTAAAAATTTTAAATAAATATTTTTCAATACTAAATTAAATTATTAAATATAAATATTAAATTAAATTATTATTATATTAATAAGAAATTTACCATTAATTATATTTTTGATAAATTTTTTTTAATTGATTCTTCTGAAAATTAACTTAAAACTTTAAACTTATCGCTAATTGCAAAGAAAATAGATAATTCATTTTCCTTAGCCAAAGCTTCGTTCAAATTCGTTTCCATGTCAAGTGTTTTTTTTCAACAGCTGAGATGACAATTACATCTGTGACTGTGTGAAATCAAAGATCTCCATGAATATTCGTGTT